TTTACAAGAAAAGTGCAAAGGCAAAGCGTAAAATGTAAGCCATGGAGAAAGTAGCAAAATGGGTTGAATAAGGGAGCAGACGGACGGAAGGAGCATAAAGAAGCGCTGACTATACTACACTACTTCCTGTCTACCCGCCACAAGCGACTTGTTTCTCTACCACTTACTCCCCAAGCACTTAACCCATCCTCTGCACGCACACACAACCACACGCGTCATATGTCGCGTCTCTACGGGCCGTTGACGTGCAATTGTAGCTGACGACTGGCGCTCGAGTGTGCCGTAGTAACCATAATTCATGACAGGAATTGCGAATATAGTGGGACATAGCGCCGGTTTGTTGCTGTTGTTTTCGGCTGTCAGCGCAACATATGACGTGTGTCGCCGCGCAGAGACTTAAATCCTTCTTTGCCGTCGCTCGGGGCGCTTACAAACAAACAAAGAAACACACAATAACTACCAGCGCAACGCTTGCGAGGTGAGCGTAAGTGAGTGTGGATTTCCGGTGACATTATGCGATGGCTGACATGGAACATCCGTTGGATGTGTGTGTGTGTGTGTGTGTGTGGTGCTGAAGGATGAAGGAGGTGGCAGCATAAATGGGCAAACAGTCAGTGAGTTATGTATTTGTTTGCTATAATTGTCTTTGTTGTTGTTGCAGTTGAAAATGAAAAAAGCAGCTAGCAACTGCTCCGGCTGCCATAATTCCATAGCTATCTATGTAGATGATGGCTGGTGTACACTGCGGCATGCATAGTGCCCCGACTCCGCCAGTTACAAACCGGACATCGCTGTGCTGTTGCAAAGCGGAAGCGTTGGCGGATGAACGCACACGCACACAGGCCAAGGCACAAGAACAAGCACGCAAAGTACTCGTATCATACTTACTTAGTGCACTGCTTACATGTCACACACACACGCACGCCCCTACGCACTCATACGCTTGCATCATTTGCTGGCTGCTGTATTGTTGCCTTTATTTGCATGCCACCAACAAGCAAATAGCCTAGCAAACAAAGAACAAACAAACAAACAAACAAATACACACAGACGAACACAAAAGTGTGGCGCATTCATGTTGCCACTTACACCAGCTACAAATATGTATATGTATATTTATGCACCTACTGAATTCCACACGCACTGTGGCTGCTGCTGTTGTTGTTATTGTTGTTTGCTGCGGACGCAGGCATTGTTGCTCTGTTTTATTTATTTTTTCTTCTCCGTTTTTTTTTGGTATTTTTTGTTTACATGGCGTTGGCTTTTTCGCGCTTCGTTCGGTTATGCGTTGCTGCATTGCTGCCGGGCAACCAGCCAGCAGCCATATGTCCGCCTTCAACTCCTCTTGCCGCATGCCACACACACTTTTTTGGCACGCAACAACGCGCGTACAGCTTTTCATTGCATACTTACAGGCGTTATTTGCTGTTTTTCGCACAAACAGTCATTGAGTTTTCGCCCCGAACATGCACTTGTTGCTGTTGTAGTTGTAGTTGTGTGCCCTGCAAGTTTCGCGCACATGCATTTCCTCTTCCGTACGGTCATGTGCAATGTGCAGGTACAAATGTAGGGTTGCATGTACATATGTATGTATGTATGGTTGTGTGCGCTTGTATTTTTCGCGTGAAAAAGGGCGCGAAATGTCTTTTTGAATTGTTAACGACCCATTTTTTGCTGTTTCTGCTTCTGATTCTGATTCTGGTTTTAATTTTGCATTTATGCCTTTGAATGCATGTGCATACGAGTGCTTAAATAATAAAGTGGCAATTCAAAAAAGTAGGGGATTTTAATGTTAATTATTTTTTGAAGCGAGACTGTTGAGCAAAACTATTTCTACTGGTTTTATTCGTATTCGAATTTTTAATTCCGAATATGCGACAAGTCTTGGCATGTTCTATTTACTCGGAAAATCTAACAACTGTATTGCGTGTACTCATACTCAATAAGTAGTAACGAATCTTGTATACTCTGCATCGGTTTCAAAGAATCCCAAAAGCATTGTTGCAGAATACGCCGTCATAAAGCTTTGCACGAATGCCTGATTATGCTCAGACTATCGGATATCAGGTAGCCGCGCGTCGGCGGGATGAAGCTGGCATTTTCCCATAGGCTTGCTGCGAATGATCAAAAAGTGTCTCCAACTAAGAGCGGCAACAGGGCGAGGGTTTAGCTTAAAAAGGCCAACGATGTTCGGTGTCAAGACGAGTAGTCGTCTTACTTTAAGAGGGATTTAATCAGAATGAAACACGATAGCATGCTCTCTATGCATAAGAAATAGAAAATGCCTCGGAGTACGATGCCAATAGAGATCTGCATACATATATGTTTGAAAACCTTTTATGATTTTTTATGCTGACAAACGTAACTTTCTAGATGTTAGGACCTAGCCTTTGCCAAAGCGCTCTCTTGCGAAATTTTAACTGTGAGATGCAATAGCTCGATCTGAAGAATTACCTCTAGCGCCCCCGTTGGGCATGTGTGCATAGCCTCCGTGATGCAAACCCACACCAAACGTTGAATAACAAAAGGCAAAGAGAGTGTCGGTCTTTGCTAGACTCTCAGGGATTAGTAAACTTTGTGATAAGAGCTATCGGGTGTGAAGTAAATAGCAATTCGTATTTGTGCATGTCTCCGAGCTTTTAACGATGCAAACTGAGCCTTCAAAGTGCTTAGACTATACAGATCTCGTCTCTCGTCTCGTCGTCTCCAATTTAAAATAGATTCTATGTCCACTCAGCCTCTACATTTGATGCAGAGTTTGTCATACCACCTAGTCTAGCTGGTAGGTCAGCTTTTAGTTAGTATTCCCGCATGAGGTCTGGTGCTCTGTAAGCTCTCCGTAGCGAATGTTGCAGATATACGGTTTCAATCCGTTACTTTACTAGTGAAAGTATACATTTCTCCGAAATTTTTCTTCGTGATATGCCTGAAGCTTTTGTTCCTTCGCTATGGTTATATAATTCCACAACAACGAAAATGGTTATATAATTCCTTCAGTCGACAGACCACAACTCAAGCCATAAACGCAAGCAAATGTTATACCCAAAAGAATTTTGCTCACCATTAACCTCATTCCTTGCCCATTATGAATTCTTTTCTTCAAAGCAACTACATAAATTACTTTGCTTAGCGCACAATGCGCCCATGCAAATATTTACAAAGCCTTTCAATTAACAACGCGAGCTCAGCGCGAATTCTTCAAAATCCATGTAACTAATTCAGGATTTTGTGCAGCGAAAACTCCTAACTGACTTGTCGGCACACAAACACGCTAAACTACATAAAAGCCAAAAAGTTGGAAGCACTACATGTTCCATATGCACACTTGCCACAAGTACTCGTATGTTCCCATTGTGAGCTCATAAAGCAGTCATTGTCTCCGCGCGACAGGCGAGCCAGCACTGTGCTTAGCTGCGAAGTTGTGCTGCGGGAGCGCATCGTGTTGCAAGGCGCTTGGAGTGGTGTTTTCTTTCAAATACTCGACACCCAACACACAGCAAAACGGAAAAAATTGCAGAGGACGCTGGCGCGCGCAAAAACAATGCCAAATGTGTTGTATAAAAAATAGTGCCGAGACCAAGCTCAGAAAAAAATATGCGAATGTGGGTGAAAGAGTACTTATATTAACAGCAGCAGGCACGAGCTCGGTGGCGATACATAGCAGGCAAGTTCCAAATCCGTCTAACAAGTGGATTAAGCGCGCGAAACATGTCACCAACAGTCGACAGTACTGCGATATCAGCGATACCAACAGCATCAGCGGGCGAACGCTGACAGCCGACAAGATGTGGGGAATGTGCGAAGTAAGCTATGCGAGTCTGTTCACGCCGCGTTAGCTTGCTTATGTGGCACACTCACATGTCACTTGTGGTTACTCGGTTGACAGTTTATGGACTGAAACGGTAAGCCACGAACCGCCAGAGCTCATGCTCATCGTATCCGACAGCCAAATGCAACTTGGTGGAGTGTTACTGACGCTTACAGCTTGTATGTGCCAACCAGCAACGCTGATAAGTACTCGCACTAGCCATCTTCCACACACTGCCACCATGGCAGTAATAACTCGTCCTAACGTACCTACTCATAAGTATGTTTGTTGTTCCACTTTTGCATTTTTTATGCCATTTTTTACGCTACTCAACATTCATTATCCGCACGGCCTGCACGCCAACGCTTCGTCTATTTTGCATGCAGCGTTGCATTTGTAGAACTACTCATGTAAGGACCGCGTTGAAGTATTGACATATGTTGATTTGCTGCCGTCACTTTTTCTCTGCGTTTTTTCGTCCTTTTTTCCCTCAATTTGCTACCAGGCTGTGCCAGTTTCGCCGTTGTCGTACGAATAGTTTCATGGCAAGCATTTACAATCTGCTTATTTTCAGACATTTGCCTGACAATCCTTTGCAACGTTCGTCATTTTATTTTTATTGTTATCGACTTTGTTGTTCTTGTTGTCGAATGTAGGGACTTAATTCACTAAGCATTCGTTAGGTTAACGAATCAGTGCCACTGGCGAGGTGAAGCGCATGAACAGCTCAACTCTGAATGGGTGTTGAGGAGACAATTACTGGCTGACATGTGTCGTTGAGGCGATTAGGCACAGATAGACGGTTGGATAGATGGACGGTTGGTTGGATGGGCAGGGAAGGAAGTGCGCAGTTGAGCGGACGCAGGAAAGAGCTTACGGTAGACCAAGCGTCGAGTGTGTGGGGGAAAAAATGCTCACAAATTGCTAAACCTCACTCGAGTATCTGTTCAAGAGCAGCGTCTTGTTGTTCTTCTCTTGCGATTTCCGTTGTCTTCTACGCTTTCGCTTGCTGTTTGGCACGTGTGAGCGCTTAACCTGTTAGTCCATTGACAGTAAGGACACCGAAAAACTATGACGAGAACTGAATAAAGTTTAATTGTCAGCACACTTAGGATTTGTCTCCTATTCATTTCCCTCCGATTTAGTTATTTTAAGCACTTTACTAATAACTACTTTTCTTTTTTCGTTTCAGGGGAATGGGACCTAAGAAGCGTCTCATCACTGCAGCTGCCGCCGCCGCCGCTGGTGTCACTTCCACTGAGCGTCAGCCACGTTCGTCTAACAACACAGCTGCAGCGATAAAGAAACAACGTCCCACTGCGGGCAAAGCACACAGTTCCCCAGCGGGTCGCAAACCGGCTGCTGCTAGTAATGTGACAGCTGTGAAACATAGTACTGCTGGTCGCACGCCTTCACCAGGTAAGAGGCAGCAAACAGCGGTTAACAAGGAACGTGAGAAGGAAAAGGATAAAGTGAAAGGGAAGGAAGAAAAGTTGGAGCAAGTGGAAGGTAAAGAGTTGGAAAAGGTAGTCGCAAAACAAACCGTTGTAGCGGAAGACGCTGAGATCCCGAAAAACAACGACGAGTGTTCGGAAAAGCTTAGTTTAGTATCAAAGCCCAAAGATCAAAGTAAACATTTCACGGATTCGATCAACGAGTCGACTCCCGCGCCCGCGACTAACCGCAAACCAACAAAACGCACACCCTCACGGGAGAATGTGAAAAAATCGAACACTTCCGAGACGAAAGAAAAGTCTTCCGGCAGCTCCAACAAGAAAATTGAATTGGAGAAGCACAAGGCGGATTCAGAACCGCCTACGAGCACTTCCGCCTCATCTTCCGTCGGTGGCAGTAAGCAGAAAGCCGAGGAACGCAAAGATGGCAAGACCAAAGCTATAAGTAAGATGCTTAAAAGTCTCGATATACAAATAACCGGTTTCGATAATATACTGCCAAGCGAAGAACGCATTCAAGATACGCTCAAGTCCTCTATTTCGGAGAATGTGAAAACAAAGTCACGCGCAGCTGCGGTCAAGGTGATAGCGAGTTTGAATCCGCCAAAGTCGAATATAGCGCGTATTAAAGCGCGACAGGAAGACGAGAGAAGGGAGAAAGAAAAGGAAAAGGAGAAGAGTAACGAAAGAGAAAAGGAGAAAGAAAAAGAGAAAAGTAACGAAAGGGAAAAGGAGAAAGAAAAAGAAAAAGAGAAGAGTGAGGAAAAGGAAAAGGAGAAAGTAAAGGATAAAGAGATAGAAAAAGATAAAGAAAAGGAGCCAGAAAAGGATAATCCTCCGTACAAGGAAACAGATAAAGAGCTTGAAACTTCATCGCATTCTAAAGAGGAGACAAGCGCACCAACAAAAGAATCTCGAGACTCACAAGAAGAAATCCAAAAATCAAAAGAATCTCCGACGAACTCTTGCAGTGAATTTGAGTCTTCGAAACGTAACGAATCTCAAGAGCCTCCCAGTGATACGACTACAAATCCTTTAGCCAAAATGGCGCCCAAGAAGAAGGTAACGGCCAAGCGTGCCAATAAAGCCGAAGCCAATCAGAAGAATAAAAAAGCGGCAGGACAAAAATCGAAGGATGATAGTTCTAAAATGCAAACGGCGGCTACAAAGCCCACAAATGCCGTCGAAGTAGGCACACCATTAAAGAAACGGCTACTCAAATCAAAACTTATAAAGAAAGATGACGAAGAGAAGAATAAAGAAGAAGCAATCACGCCAACTGGATATAAGTCAGACACACAGTGCAAAGCAGTGGAACCACCCGAGCCACCGGACAAGGGTGTCCAAGAAGAGAAGGCTGCAAAGACGCCTAAAAAGACGCCATCGCCGAAGAAAGTCAAGATGAACCCAAAGAACACGGACAAGTGCAATATCCAGGAACCTGAGGCGGCTGATGAACAGCCAGAATTTTTGGAAAAGGAAGAGACATTAAGAATAGTATTAGATGCCAATACAGAGGTAGTGCAAATGGATCTTGAAGAAATGCCGGTATGTGCAAAAGCTCCAAAAGAAGTGGAGCTCAAAAAGGAGAAGACGAATGAGGTGCAGCCAAAGGTGGAGGCTGATGCGAAACCGCAGTCGTTAAAGCAAGAAGAAGCGACAGAGAATGCCACGACCTCGGCCACAGCCTCACAACTGGTTGAGAAGAGGCAAACTTCGAATATTAAGCAGCGATTACAAAGCAAATACAAGGTGGCACCAATCAAGGCCAGCGCAGCTAAAATAGTTGGCAAAAAATCCAAATTTGCACAAAAGCTGGTGAGCGACAAGGTTGCCAAAACAGCATCAAAAGACATATATGACTTTAGATCAGGTTCTGAGGAAGAAGATAACATTAAAATGGTGTTGCCCACGTTGAAAAACCTACGCGAGTTTGCTGATGAAGAAAATAAAGCGAAGTCGGCCAAGGAAGCTTTAAAGAGCAAGCAAACGTGTGTCGTCGCAGATGAAAAGGAAGAAAAGAGCTCGGAAATGCTTGAAGAAAAAGATATACCAATCAAAAAGCCAATGGAAGGGCCTAAAAAGAACTTGGAATGCGCGGACGTTGAAGAAAAGGATGAGGACGTTGAAAATAAAGATGTTGTAGAAGGCGAAACTAAGAAGGATACAGAGCTGAACCCAAAGTCTGCCGCTAAAGCAAAGAAGATCCCCAAGCCGAAAGTGACGCGAAAAGTTTACAAGAAGAAACCATTAATTACGAAGAAAGTGCTTAAAGTAGTCAAAGGGAAATTATTGCAGAAGGCAACTAAACCGAAAGCCAAAACCACCAAAAAGGTGCAAAGGGAATCTTCAAGTGCCAGCAGTGATTCCGAAGATGAGAAAAAGTTGATTGATTTTGGCCCCAAACGACACCGCATGGCATCATTGAACGCGCTAGCCAAAGTGCAGTGTCTCTACGAGAACGAATCGCGCACGGCCTACGAGTTGGGCCTGTCCAAGGCGACTCAGTTGCCGCCGAAAATTCGTACTGTTGATGGCAGTGACGAGGAGAAGGACAAGGAAAAGGAAATCGATGAAAAAGTTAAAGTGACGAAAGAGAAGAAAACAGAAGACGCTGCAAAGGTGGAGGAGTTGCAAAAAGCAGAGTCCGAAGACGAACCACCGGAGGTGGAAACGAAGCGCGAACTGCGCTATGTGCCAGGCGGACGTGGGCTGGGTAAGCATTGGGAGTTCGAAGAGAGCGGCGACAGTGAGGACGAGGAAATCGACAAGATGAAGCTTAAGCGTAAGAAGCTACAGAAAAAGTTGGCAAACAAGAAAGAAAAAGAAGCAGAAAAGCTGAGAGAGAAGGAAAAGGAAAGAGAAAAGAAAGACGACGAGGCATCGGGTAGCAAGACTGGCAAGGCAAAAGAAGCCAAAGACGGCGCGAAAGAAAAAGTCCCTATCAAAGTAAAACGCAAGTACACGAAGATTAAGAAGCCACTCAAAAAGTTAGTTAAATTAAAAACTGAAAGCTCTGATGGTGGCGAAAACTCAGAGGCAAGCGATAAAGAAGACAAAACTCAAGAGAAGGAAAAGTCGAAAGCGCACAAAGCCAAGTTGGAGGCACGCAAGCCGCCAAAGAAGCGCAAGCGTATGCTGCGTGAGGAACTAATCGGCGATTATAAGGGCATTTTGGCACGCAAACGCATGGCTAGCCTGAATGCCAGCGCTATAGTAGCTGCCACATATGAGGTTGAGCGTCACCTGGACAAGAATTTGGCTTACGGCAGCTACGAGAGCTCCGATGGCGAAGAGAAAACATCCACACCAGCCAAGAAATCCAAGGATGTGGCAAAAGAGACCAAGAAAGCAGCTGCAGCCATGGCAGTAACCGAAGAGCCATCAGTTACAAAAGAGACCGTTGAAGCCACAACAAATACCACAGCTACAGCCAATAGTTCGAATGCGTCTACTGCAAGCGGTACAGCTAGGGAGTCGCGACCGCTGAATATAAACGAGGAGAGCAACGACTCAAAGTACTCGAAGGAAACCAAAGAGACCAACACAGACACAACAACTACGGCTGGTTTTCGTGACTCGGGTAGCACAAAGGACGCAAAGGACTCCAGTCGGCCTACCTCGTCGAGTGTGGTCATTGTTCAGGACACAGACGTCACCATAACGGGTGTATACGTCAACTCTACAACTGGCTCAAGTCAGGAGGCCTACTGCAAGATGCAATATCGCGTACAATCGAGCGTCACCGAGGAACGAGTGCTGCGTCCCAGTTCAGTGGACCCACCAAAGTCCTATACGCCATTGAGCGCGCTCTCGAGCATGCTGCCGCCGGGCGCAACATCAGGCGCAAGTGGAGGAATGGGCGAAGGTAAGTTATGGCGCATTTCTTTGTTCTTCTATATATAAATTACTAATTAAATGAACCCTTTCCAGCGCAAGGCTCACCCCCACCACTGCCACCGCCCACTGCAGTCAGCACCGCCCTGCCGGACGCGCTCAGCGCTGCTAGCATCTACCACGCCAACGACTTGGGTCTGCATCCGGAACATGGCGCACCGGAACATGGTCCGCCGCCACCCTCATACGCTGCCGCGGCCGCAGCCGCTGCTGCCGCCTACCATGCACATCACATGTCGCCAGCCGCCGCCGCGGTCGCTGCCGCCGGCATGCACGTACACCATCAACATCAGTATGCGCACGCACACGCGCATCAATATCCCCCAATGGGCAGTGAACACGGCATACATGGCGGACTGCCGTCACCACACACAGCCGCAGGCCCACCGCCGCCGCCGCCGCATCACTATCAAGCACCGCCACACTATGGGCCGCCGCCACCACCGCCGCCCACATCGAGCGTGGTGGGTGCGGGACGTTGTGAAGTTGTATCACCGCCGCCAACCTATCGTTCCAGCGTCTATGCGCCGCCAACTGGGCCGCCACAATCACAGGCGCCTAGTGGCCTGCTGCCACCGCCACATTCCTCGCTCTCAATGACAGCGGGTGGTGGCTCGAGCGCTTTCTGTGCGCCCAATCTACATCATCAGCAAGCACAGCATCAACATCACCAACAACAACAACAACATCATCAGCAGCAACAAGCAGGTCAACAACAGGACGCAAGTGGTGAGTCGATACAATCAATTTGCTACATTTTTATTAAATATTTATAAGGGAATGTGCGGTGGTGTATTTTATATACTACAAGTATTCTTGCCGATTCAGTGAGAAACTGAAAGTGCCGTTAGTATGATTTTATATACTCCATCAGCTAACATTAGATGTCCTCGGCCGCGTCTTGCCTGCTGTGTGGCGGCCCATTTCGGCTACCAATTAAATATTTAATTGGATTTCTAGTTGGTCGTGTTGCATATCCGTTGAGCTTAGTTCATTTAGGTTAGTTGTGCTGAGACTGGCCTCTAGCTGACCTGTTCATTAAACTTAAGTAAAAACCTTTTAACGCCCCGACGTAACGGTACACAAACAATCATGTTAATTTATTTCTTCCAAAAACAAGGGGACTAGAAAATGTGTTTTTTTTACATTTAATTTTAGTTAACCTTGAAAATTGTCCTTTTTTCGAATAATTTCAAAAGTGTTTAAAAAAGTTCATGAAAGCACTTCTGAACCATAATTCTCATATCTTAGAACTTGTTTCAATTTCATAAACAGATAATTAATTTTTTTTCGAATATGGCAACTCCATTAAATTTTTCTCTTAAAATTTGTTTAGTTCTAACATATATTTCGTCGATATCCGTACTTTAAAATGCCTTTTTAAATCAATTTATTCCAAAAATTTTAATTTTTAGACAGGCGGCAACCCTTTTAAAAATATATAAGTATATGTTAAAAATAATTTTTCGACTAAGTTTAATTAATTGATAACACTGTTACTGCGATTTTAATTTAATTATGTAGATAACGTGCATATGTGTTTTCTAGTTGGCAACCCTATTCGAAAATGTATCTTTCGAAAACTAGATATGTATGTATGCATTCAATTTTCTTACTAGTCGATTTAATATAAATATAGTATGTATGTGCTAGAATTTGCACATTTTGCCGCACCTGCCCGTTTGAGCTAACCAGAACGCCTAGAATACGCCTGCCGCTTGTGCGCCTCCATGCATTCGCATTTGCACCTACACACACATACATACATACATACCTCAGCATAATACAACTTCATTCATATTTTAGCGTATGCCTGCTTATCCTTTTGGAATGCCCGAAGCTCACTATCCGTGCATGTGTGCTCACTGTGGCTGCCTATCCTTTCCCATTTCGCTGCCGCCTTGCTCCTTTCCCAAACACACACACACACACACATACATTTGTATGTATTGGCATTGTCGCATTTGCATTAAATGCCATTTAATTTGTCATTATCAGCAGCGTTGCGATTGTCTGTCTATCCATGGGTCTGCCTAACTAAATGGCTGGTTGATTAACTGATCGACTGAGTGACTGACTGACTGACTGGGGTGACGGATGAGCGTGTTGGGAATTTCGTTTAACGAGCTGCCGAGCCTTGTCAACATAATTTAATGGCTGCCAGAGTATTACGAGTATTTGGCAGGTGGTGTTGACTTCTCGTTGTTGTTATTGTTGGCCTTGTTGATATCGGAGTATTAGGCATTATTTAAGTACTTTGGGGCTTACTTACCTAAATACATACAAACAAACAACAACATATGTTTTCATTTACCGCTCTAGCGTTATTGTGCCTGTTATTATCCTTGTTCTTGTTGTGTAATATGTCAATAAAATAGAAATCTATGTTAATTATTACTCTTGCGGTGACACTTGAGGTGTTGGAATTTATGTATTAAGGTCACATTGGTTCTGAATGATTGAATGAATGTATGTTAGGAGTGGTGGCAGGCAGAGTTAATTGAAGTATCTCAGCTATAAAGAGTTTAATGATGTTCAATATATGTATATCAGGAAATTACAAGTTGACAAATTGCAAAGAAATAAATGATTGATAAATAATATTTATAAACAGGTTAAGCCAATAATAGGCTGTAGTTCGCAAAATGATTAATGATTAATTTAAAAAAGTTTTCTCAAGTATCTATTAAAATTAAGCTCCCCTTTAAACACAAATTTTGTTCTTAAAAAATGTGTTTGATTGGCAGATATATATTAAAAGCTGCTTGAGAAAACTGCCCTTACTTTTGCGAAATAATTTTTTTTTTTTAATTTTGAAAATTTTCAAGGACCTTAAAATTTAAAATTTTTTTGAAGACTTCTGAATTAAGTCTTTTATTTCAGACTTTTTAATTCTCAAAATCTTTTCGGAATTGGTTTTTATTGAAATTATTTAAAAATTAAAATTTTGTAAATTTCTAAAAAAAAATTCACTTTAATATTTCAAAAATTCTCAAAAGTTAAAACAAGTTATTGGAAAATTTTTTAATTTTGAAATTTAAAAGATTTTTAGATTTAAGCTTTTTATTTTTTAAATTCTGCAAAATTTTTTAATCAACAAATTGTTAAAGAAATTTAGTTTATTTTCATTTTAAAATGATTTAATTGTGAAATTAAGATCAAATTAAAATTTTGAATATCAAACAGATAAATTAGAAGTTGTGAGATTTTTTTAAATATATAGTAAAATTTTTAAATTAAAAAAATTAAAATTATCAAATTTAGAAAATTTTTGAAAATGGGAAATTTTCTTAAATTGGAAATTTGAAATTTCTTTCATAATTTTTTAATCCTCCCCTGCCAGAAGAACCAGGAAACACAAAAATATATAGACCTTAAGGCGGATTCATCGTTCTAGTTCTGAACTATTTCTTCCATGTCTTTTTTATGGCGTTTCTCTCCCTCCGCCTCAATAGACTTCAAATCACTTAAAAGTGACTTAACACACATAAATATGCTTAAAATTAGACTAAGTACATTTAAAATTATGCACATCTTATTTGGCTTGCACTCATAATAAAAATTATGATTCAAAAGAATAAGTTGAGCGCCTAAAAATAGACTTCTCCTACAATTTTCTCACACACAGAGTGAAATAATCATTTCAAAAACTTAAGCGCCCAAAACTACTGACTTTAAAAGTCAGTGAATCAGCACTTATTGCCAAATCAATTAATATTTTTGCATAATTTTTGTATTTCCGTTTTCTAAACGCCAATCAAATTCATGTTTACGCACGATTGCCGCTAAATTGGCTGCACTTAAACTTTTCCTAGTGTGAGCGAGTGCATAGTGAGTCATTTTTATGCGAGCGCTTTGATGTAGATATTAGAATTACGAGGATCTGAAACCGGAGACATCTGGAGAGTAGTTAAACGTTGTAGTGGTGTAATGATATTAGTAGACTTAACTAAGGTATATATCTCGTTCTAGAAATTGTTCGAGGAACTAGCTAGGAGATTTTTTGATGGAGGACGGAGAAAATAAGGCTGCTTACTACAGAGACTTAAGGCTTTTAATTACATATCTTCAGTTTTTCATGAGTGTTTATATGGTTTCTCTATAGGGTCTGCGCATTCAAGTTTTCACTTTATCTCGACAGTCTAGTCGCTAAAATCTAAGTAATTTAGTTCTAGCAGCAAGCTCATACAGTTTATCGTACCACATTTTTCGGCCTCCAGGCGTTTTGGCCCTAAAGTCTATCTTATTCGAAGAAGGCATCCTGTTATCTAAAAGTTCATCCGCACCCTACATAGTAAAATTTCCATACTTATGATTTCCTAGTTATCCTTCTGACTTCCTAAAAGCTGAACTAACCAAAAGCTGCATGCCAAAATATCGTTTTAGCAAGGCCGGACTGTCCTGTATAAGATACAGGATAAAGCTGATATTCTGTCCTCCCTGGGCCCATTTCGATAGCCCAAAGAGTTGCAAAGCTACTTCGATCCATCTAAAAATCATCACGTTTCCAAGGTCTATGGAGATAATGGTAGGAAGAGCTCACAACTTGAGAACTTCTAGGAAACTTGACTGTTTTAGAAGGGATTCCAATAGCGCAGTCACAAGGGGAGTACTCATAGTTCCTTTGACCGAGACCGGCCATAATCTGTTAGCTTTGATACTTTCGATTCTACATAGATGATGGAGACTTTTTTGTTCAAAGTCAAAAGTTTTCAACCGCAACATTTATTTGTGGCTGCCTCTTTAAATAGTTGCAGAACTTTCCAGCTTGGGGCAACAAAGCACCATTTTAAATTTTATTTGTACGAGTACGCACTTAAAACTTATGTAGGTACATTTAAAAAAATTAAAGCAACACAAAAAAGGAATTAAAGTGTACAATTTGAGAAAGTTTGAGTTATATGTACTTCAGCGTACAGATAAATATAGCACACATTCTACGCGCTTGCACACACAAGTAAATAGGGAAAACTACGACACACGGAAGGAACTGGCAACGAGATGTGTGAACAAATTAATGAAATCAATTTGAAAAGTTCTTTAGCTAACAAAATACAAACATACAAGCACACACATACATACATATGTATGTATGTACCATACACACCATGTGGGGAAACGCGCTAGTGCCGAACTGGTTCGGTCCTAGATAATTAAGAACCATGACTACATAGTGCGCGTTAATTCTCTAGCAACTGGCGAACTTAAAATAGCTTTGTCTTAGCTAGCGATATGTTCAGATTAAATCTATGTATACATTGATACGGATCTAAATTAATATATAGGGGAAAAAATATTTAGAGAGTTGCCACCTGTTTGAAAATTTCAGTTTAGGTACATTGATAAGAAAAAGTAAATATCGCAATATGAAGGTCAAAATAAAGAGGTTTATGAAGGCTTACAGCGAAATTTTTTTGGGGAAGGTTACCACCTGTTTAAAAATTTTAATAATTGATAAGATAAATTAAATATTGCAATATGGGTATCAAACTAAAGAGGTTTACGAAATGTTACCGCCAAAAATATGTTTGATGACGGTTGCCACCTGTTTGAAAAATTCTATGGAATTATTAAATTCGTAAAATAAATCAAATAATACAACACGGGTTTAAAACTAAAAAGGTTCGAAAACTAATGCATGGAATTGAATGCAGTTTTCAGCGATACATTGCTACAGGTCTAACTTAAAATATAGGGAAAAATAATTAGAGAGTTGCCACCTGTTTGAAAATTCCAGTTTAAGTACATTGCTAAGATAATGTAAATATTACAATATGGCCGTCAAAAGAAAGAGGTTTAAGATAGCTTACAGTCGAAAATATTTTTGGGAAGGTTACCACCTGTTTGAAAACGTTAATAATTGATAAGATAAATTAAATATTGCAATATGGGTATCAAACTAAAGAGGTTTAAAAATGTTTACTGCCGAAAATATTTTTGTAGCGGGTTGCCACCTGCTTGAAAATGATTATTTATGCGGAAAAATTTTATTCATTTTAGATAAGGTAAACCCTTGAAGGAAGTGGCTTTATGTAGAATCGAGTTATAAGGTAAAATCCCACTTCGCGCCATAAGAGTTTGCGAGGGAGTAACAAAAAAAATATTTTAAAGCACGCCGGGTGTTTGCTAGTAGTAAAAAAATAGCTTTGCTTTGGAACTGGTGGAGATCTACATAGTTATTATCCGACTGGTTCGTTTTTGGCGATAAAGATCTAGTACGGAACTAGAAATTTGGTTCACTAGCTCGCGGTTTGCCTGCTAGGCAGCGATGCATCCCTGCACG